GGTTCCTGATAATTGCGAGGTGGCAGACAAAATGATGCACGATGCATTTCTCATTGTAGGTGCCCAAATACCATGGAGCCGTCGCCTGCTTAAATGGTCCACCAAGGCAGTTACAACAATGGACGGTGCAGTTGCCATTGAATTTTGTCTCTTTTATTTCATATTCATAAATGTGATTATATATTGATTGCGCTCCGGCTAGGAAATTAATATATTGAATATGTTTTTGAATATAATTCAATGCTCATTTCAAATTTCTTATAGCATAGTCTGTAACCTCAATTCCCAGTCGAATCCGCAGGATAGTTCAGCCGTGTTTGCCGAATTTAGCAAAGAGACAACCTTCGATCAAGTGATTCTCGTTTGTTGGTAAATGTCTCATTACTCGCTTAAAGATTTAGGTTAACTCTGTGAGAGATCTCATCGAGGCGACGAACAATTGCATTCCGGATGCCAGTGTTACGGGTCGTTTCGGAGAGGACGACGTTCATTACTTTATGGATTTTGACATCGCTGTTCTGGCTTCCTCACCTGAAGGTCGGGCAAGTACAATCATCATAATTGACAATGACAAATGTTATTTTTAATTCAGGCAGAGGAGAGGACGATATGACTGGGAAATTCGGACAACAGTATTATGTCAGATTTCTTAAGTTTTGACCATCTATCAGCTCATCATTTCTGATCGTAGTACATAAAGCATTTTTCATTCTTTCGATAAGTCTTCATTTTCTATTCAGTTAGTAGATCGTCTGATAAAAATGAACAATGCTTCGCTTTAAGAAAATTTCTATCGATGGCGGGATCCAAGCGCTTCCATTAAGGTATACAACAGGAATATAGTTTGCCTAATGCTGTCATAGTGACGCGAAATCACATGGTTAATTTCATAATAGCCGTTTGGAAATGACCGCTCTGGCAAAGAGGTTTGGCTTGAATCCGCTGGAAGGATATCCTTTGTCATATCCGCAATTTTTCTGAAACAACGAATTAACCTTATGTTGCTTCCGCAATGTTAGGTGAGAAACGGGTAGTATGTTGGTGACTTGTGAATAATAAGGGCAGCATGATATCGTAGTCTGGTTATGATGTATTCGGCCATTCTGTTAGATGCTAGAGCCCATTTTGACTGCAGTCCTCCTTTATCCACGTAACAGCAGACTATCCAGCGAATAATAGGCAAAGATGTAATCGAAATTTCGATTTTTTCAACATGGTATTCGCTTGAAACATCAGCAGTTACAAACCTTACCCCAATAAAGCAGCAAGATCTCGCAAGTCGAAAAATAGTTTCCTTCTTAATAAAGTGCAAGAATGCACTTGCACATCATGTCGTGAGGCGTCATTGAGTAAATATATATTTTTCTACGCTTTTAATTAAAACGTTCTTTTCTTTATCCATTATCATATCATTATGTTTATCCATGTTGGATCTGATAAACAGTACAACAGCTCTATGCTTATAACGTACGACATATCACGTCGTATTTTTGCTTAACAAAAAGTACTACTTGACATTGTTATTATTGTTTGAATAATAATCTTTATCATCACAAACGATTAATTTGCATAGCCTCTCTTTCCTGCGTTAAAAACGATGGTCAATCTTGATGCTCTATTATGAATATGCTATCTATTATATGTGCAGACTGTACCACCGTTTTCAGTAGTTCATCACCGAGTTGTCCAACAACCAGCGTATAACTTTAAAATATCTTTCCAGAGACCCTGAAACTGAACTGAAAACAACCTTTTCTACTCTTCTATACTACCGATTTATCTTTGCCATTTGTTGGCCCTTATTCTAAATGTTGCATCTGCGCAAGGCCTTTGCGAACCAATTGAAAATTTCGCGCTCAACATAGACGATTCAGATTTAATCGATGGCTCTTACTTAAAACTCAGCGAAGCTTTGTGATCATCGTTTGGATCACTTGGACCTGTCGGTAGACGGCGATACGCCCGTCATTTCTCGCGGTATCGAGCTTTACAACTCTAAACGACCTTCTCGACTTTTGGTATAGTGATTCCACCATCGTAGGGGGCCATTAGATGGTCCCTGAGGACACCGGTCGAAGAGCAGCTCGACGAACTTCCGTCGCTGAGTCCAGCTGCGAGCTACGATCATCGCAGACCTTCTCCCTTCCACTTTCGATGACAACGTTTTTCATTCCTGTCCGCTGCTAGATCACCGTGAGGTGAAATTCCAAACATTCTTCTGCCCATGACTCTATCTGTGACAGATAGCCTACGCTCATTGGCTTTTGCGAGTTACCGCGTCCAGCAAAAATACAGCAATGCAGACAGGACTGTAGAATTGGAGAGATAGGAACCGATGCTGCCTTGGGCGTACTCAATAAAATGAAACATGCGACAATCGGTAGTCATTAATTGTTGGATGTCTCTAGCCTGATCATATCACATGAAAATATTTAAGCCCATGTAAGTGCATTCATTAACTTATATCTTTTCGTCATTTACCTGGAATATTACCTGGACGGTTGCCAGGGCATGCCATTGTAGTACGTTCGCTTTGACCGATTCCTTCGTTGTCCGACATCTGTATTTTTTCCCTCAGGCTTTTGCAGTATATTTTGTAGCTGACTGGCATTTTCAGCAAACAGTACTAGGTCATCAGGGAATCCTAGGCTGCTGAGCTGTTCATCATTTAATGCTGAACCCATCATTTTGGTTAATGCTCAGGAACACCATTTTTTTAAACCGCCAGTGAGAACAACAGTCTAAAGCTTTGATCTTGTTGAATTTGTCTGTGTCCAGTTTGGGAGAAAAATATGAGTCCTCCCCTGAGGAAGTGGAAAGTGAACTACGAAGTAGTGGAGTACCTCGTTTTAATGAGCAATTTGAATGCGCAGGTCGGAATGGACACAGAAAGGTGGAAATTCGCGATTTGAAAGAGCGGCAATAATGACCTGAACAATAACAACATGAAGCTGTTACAGGTTTGTGCAAATAGTGGACTGTTCGATATGAACATGTTCTTCGAAAATCATGTTAATTCCACCCTTCCAGTTCATCCTCTCCAACACTTTCCAAACAGACAGCAAAGAGGTTGGGAGAGATGGTTTCCCCCGTTTTCACGTCCTTCCCGACTTTTATCCGGAAGGAGCGTGGAACAGCATGATGTTTTAGAAGCAGTCACAGTTCGCTTCCTTTAACAGGTTAATATAATGGGGGTCGAGGCCTTGTTCTGCCAGTACAGTCCACACCGTTATACTCGACAGGGTCTATCGCTTTCTTGTAATATATGAAAGGCATGCACAGCGGAGGCTGGAAATCCCTCGCCTGTTTGAGGAGTTTTCTTAAGGTAAATATGTTATCATGTGTGCTGTAGCTCCTTCAGAATTCTGCATGTTCTGTTGACTGGTATTTGTCCTTAGTGAACTTGAAGAGTAGGCAGATTAGGCGATATATCTTCAGAGTTTTCTTCTCACATTTCTTGAACAGCATGACTGTTTTTGACTCCTTTCAGCTAGATGGTGTCTTTTCCGTTTCCAAGCGACAACTAACTTTCTCTGCCATTGCCCTCCACAGCCTCTGACAACCTTTTCTGATCATTTTAGTTATCATATCGTCTCTTCGTCAAGTTCTTCCTTCCTTCATCTGCTGCGCGGCTCAACAAACATCGCTTATAGGGACCGCGAGTGCACTTCTTTCTTACTGCTGGAGTGATGATCAGAAAGAATTCCTGTCTTTGACACGAAGAGCTTTGTGTCAACGTTATTGCAAACATACAGCATTTCAGTTCTGTCAGAATTCATTGTGCCATCCCTGCTTTTCAACGTCGTGATGGTCGATTGATAAGTTGCTAACTCTCTCCTGCATGTCTGAGATTTCCACGATCTTCCACTCTTTTCTGTAATTTCGTAATCGCAATCGGAAGGTGACAAAGTCTTCCTTCAGCTTCTATCTAATGAACTTGAAGAAAAGCAAGTACTCCGCCCAACGGTCCTATTTGTCTTCATTCTAACCCTATGATCTCTAGCCAGCTCATTGTCTTTTCGGAAACCCGTCCTTTCGCTTTTTTGACGTTACCACGTCGGCTGCCTTAGGCAAAGTCTCGGTTTCTCAGCCAGCTTCTCATATTCGTCGTTGTAGCTGGTTTTGCGGTTTCAGTCCTTACTGGAAATGCACAGATTAGGCAGTGCCTCGTCGAATGCCTTTCGCCGTTGCCTGCGATTTGCCGTCTACAATGACTTCCTCTCAATCTTCTCCTCGAAGGTTAGCCTGGCCCGCATCAGACTGAGGTCACTGCCGGTGTTAAATGCCACCACTACAGCCACGCCTATTATTCGGTGTTTATCGAAGAGAACGAAATCGATCTCATTTTTCCTCACAGCGCTTGGCACGATCCATGAACCGGGTCTGGCCACTGCGTAAGTATTTCGTTTTCGCCATATTCACCTATTGATTTCCTCGTTCATTTCGCTATGTGGTGCCTTTGTTGCAAATGAACTTATCGCCGGCCCTCCTCGCCTGACCTTGGTACTGAAGTCTACCATGACAAGGGTATGCATGGCCTTTGGGACTAATGCTTGTTTCAATTCTTAATAGAATTTTTCCACTTTCTGCTCATCATCTGTACTTGTGGGGACATGGGTTTGGACTATCATCAGTGTCCTCTTCTTTTTCAGTTGGAGGCACAGACGCCCAGTTTTGATTACTTCATGTGGGAGCAGTATCCTGAAGGACCAGCATTTGCCGACTGCCAGTCCAATTCTTCCTATGTTCTTTGCACCTTTTCCTCTTCCTAGCCAAGTTGAACTACCGTCTTTCC